TCGCTTTCTGTCTGAGAATGGAGTCTTGAACCTTGAGGTATTTGATATATTCAGCCTTATTTTTGTTCAAAAGCGCCCTTGTCCCCTCACTGTTATAAATGATCAAATTTTGCTCCAGTTCCGCAATGTTATTCTCAATATTTTTGGTATCTTCATAGATATCACCATATTTTTCTCTCGACCATATGCTTAGTCTCGCTTTTATCTTCTTCAACTTTAATTGCAAGTTCCACATTGGATTAGGTAGACATCCTTCACCCCAACTGGATCTCACACAATTTAAGAAGTCCTCATGCTCAGTCCATATGTTTAAGAACCTGAAATATTTAACAAAATCATTAGAGTTGACAGAAGATTGTACAAGAAGAGGCACATGATCTGAACACGCATTAGTAAGGTGAGTAACAGTGGTTTTGCCAAACTGATCAAACCACAATGAGTTATATAGAAGTCTATCCAATCTCTTCCATATAGTATTAGAGCCTCCTCTGTTATTGCACCAGGTGAAAATATTCCCTACATAACCTGCATCTTCAATACCACAGTCAGATAAACAGGAAACAAAATCAAGGCTTTTCTCTGCCCTATGGGGTCGACCTCCTTTCTTCTCCATTGAATCAGAAATGACATTAAAATCACCTACAACAGCCCAAGGACCATTCAACCTATTTGAAATGGTCACAAGTTCTGTCCAAAGCTCTTTTCTGAGGGTTGTCCTGCATTTGGCATATACATTGGTTAAATGATACATAACATTAGTATCTTTATGGCATACCTGAAAAGTTACCTGTTGTTGGGAGTTGTCTTGGACCTTTACCTCAAAGTCATTGGACCAGAATGTCCAAATTTTATTATTGGAGTTGGAATGACAGCCTTCCATCCCAAGTTGTCTCATGTAAGTCATGATTTGATCACTTTTCACAAATGGTTCTTGTAAGCAGATGAAAGATAAGTTGTATTGAGCTTTGATGGTTTTAAGCCTTTCGAAGGCACATTGAGTGTTGACACTCCTTATGTTCCATGACAGAGCTTTAATCATTGGAAACATTAAGGTTTGTATCTTTGCATATCCCTTTGTTAGAGTCATCTCTTCCCCAGGAGTCCAGTCTGTAACAGGTACATCAGTTCCTCTTGGTGAGAGATTGTTAGTCATACAAAAATCTTGTTTTAGCGTTATTCCTTTAGCATCAGGGTTATCTTTGTTATCTTGGGTATAGGACATGTTGTTCATTTCTCCATCTGATACAGAAAGATCTCGACAAAATTCTCTATCCTCTTCTTCTGATTCAGTCTCATAATGGTTGTATTCATCATGGCATTTTTCTCCCCCCTGAGGAATGGGATTGTTCACATCAGTATCCATACTATCCTCTATTTGCAGGGTATGCTCATTGTTATGGGTAGGCACTCTCTTAACTTCTTCCATAGTGTTAGGAGCATTACTGAACCTCGATGGATTATTGTCCACGTTTGTGACCCCTAAAACAGTTCCACGGAAGCTGTTAGACGGGTCATGTATTCCAGGATCTAGTGTATCTTTTCTTTCAACATAGAGGGGGACATTAAACATCTGGTCTTGTTGGAGTATCGCACCTTTTCCCCAAATAAAATCTGATTCATTTTTGTGCAAAACTTTTTCTTTCTTCTTTCTTTCCGGCCTTTTGTACGGATGGACTGCCTTGTTGATCATAGAGGCTTTTTTTGATCTCTTGGTCAAGGGTTGCCATGAGGGGTCATTGGTTTCCTCCTCAATGCCTATTGATTTCTTGCTACCCGGGAGCTTCTTGCCTTGATTAAGCTTGTTGGCCTTAATGGACATATTCCCTGAAGTTTCAACCTTCTCCATAGGCTTGTTCCCGTTGCTTTGCGTAACTGGATTATCAAGCATCTCAGTATTTTGACTACCCTGCACGGCTACCTCTAATTGCTGCTTTTTCCCATCGAGTTTGCCTTTATTTTTTCCTTTTCCCCTAGTCACTGTGGTCCAGCCCTCTTCCTCTTGGCACTTCTCTGGCTCCATATTAGTATCAAGATCAGTTTGTAAATTTATTTCTTGATTTCTTATGGTATCCACTTGCATTCCATTATCCTTGGTATGTTCTTGTATTTTGTCAAAAGCTATCGACGCACTTATACTAGTTGTTCCTTCTTTTCCTTCATTAGCATATTCATTTCTTAACTCCGGGTAAAGGACCCCGCATTTAGCATCACTGTGACCTTGAATTTTACATTTAAAACAAAATTCTGGAATAGCTTCAAACTCCAGCTTTTGCACAAGACACTCTTTCATGCCTTCCGAGTTTGTAATTTCGATCTGAACTTCCTTTAAGGGTGGTCTTGTGACATCGATTTTGACCTTGACTTTCGCAGTAGTGGGTCTCGTCTTAGATAAGGTGGCCCTATCCGTGATGATCGGAGTGCCAATAGGAGCTAAAATACGACATAAAGCATCCCACTCAAAATAATGCCAAGGAAGGTCCGGCAGATTCACCCATACTGGCGCAAGAGTGGTCTCCTTCTCGGGTTTGAAGTCTGTTGTCCATTTGAGAAGTTTCATTTGCATTCCACAGATTGACAAAAAATTCCTACTGTAGACATTTCTATGATCTTCTTCCAGTTCAAAATCAATGAAAACATGGTGCATATTGTAGACCCCAATTTTCACTCCCCCCTTTAGGTCTACCACTCTATTAAACTCCAATCGAATTTTATCTATTGAAGGTCTGATTCTCGAGAATTTTCCCACTACCGTGAGACGACACGATTCAGCTAGGAGATCGTCTTCATCTTTGGTGAAGGTGACAATAGCCCTACCTTCAGATAAATTGTAAGATCTGTGTGGTAGATTAACTTTCTTCCTCCTCCCCCTGTTTGTATGATTCCTCAAAGCCTCTGCAAAACTTCGCCCTTCACTAATATTTTCCCTCTGGTCGGAAATCGATCCTTTAGTAAACTGTTGAATACTCCATTTGCCTATTTGCTTTTCTGGAGAGTTAAGGATTAGAGCTTTTTGTCCAACACTTTGGGAGGGGAGGGGGGGAAAGCTTTGCGCAAGAGAAGGGGAGTGGTCTGGGGGGAAAGGAGGTGGTCGGACCGGCGGAGCCACCCGACTCGCCGTGGACATTAGATCCAAGTGACCGTTAGAGACAGAATGGAGGAAAAACGGTAATATTGGTAGAGTTAATTATATGTTTGTATGCAAACTTTACCGAAAAAATCCAAAAATCTGGAAAAAAAAATCCAAGGTTTATTAGCTTGGTTTGATTTATAAATTTAAAAATTCGACACAATGGTTTGGTTTGGTATTTGAAAGATCCGAACCAACCCGAGCTTGAAAAATCCGAAAAAATCTGAATTTTATTAATTTGGTTTGGTTTATAAATTTAAAATTTTTACACAAATAATTTGGTTTGATTTTTGAAAAACCCGAACCAACCCAGTCATGTACACCCCTAGATAAAACTACTATCTAGTCAACAATTCATCTATTGAGTTAGTGGTAGGTGTGCATCACGACTCGTAATTTTGAGTCATGATAGTCATAAGGCACAAGTCATACATTATATTATAAGTACGATTTTTTTAATTCTACTTTCCACACAAATATATATGTATCCCTTTTTTAAAAAAAAGAAAAATTTTATCAAGCCACTCTTTGATTTTCTTTTATGCATTCTATAAATGTTTATTAGGAAATTCTTATAGAAGTTTAATAACGTCGAATAGTCCTCAGAACCACTCTTTGATTTGCTTTTATACATTCTATAGATGTTTATTAGGAAATTCTTATAGAAGTTTCTAGAAGCTAATAACATTAAATAGCCCTCAGATTAAATTATAGTAAATCATAGTGCCACTTAATTTGTTATTTGGTTGGCAAGTTTAGGATAACTTATCTCGAAATTAATAATTAGTATCAGGATAAGTTATTCCTTCCCTTGGGTAGTATAGTAATTTCGGAATAAAATAAGTAAATGACAAAAATATCCCTTTAAACCCTTTTTATACATCACTTTTCACATTCGTGAAGGATATTTTTGTAAACAAATAAATTGTTCTTCGAACACTCAATTAAAAAATAATCTTAGCATAACTTATTTCATCATAACTAATCTCATGATAACTTATCACAACTAACTAATCCTATCATAATTTTAATTCAAACCAAAGCATTTATAGTAATTAATAATCCCTTTCTAATAGGAAACAAATTATAGTAATTAATAATCCATTTCCTAATAGGAAACAAACTATAGTAATACTATATATACGTCCCTTCCGCCGATGAACAAAATTTTTGTGAGAGTAATCAATACTAAAATTTGTTTGAAAAAAGTAATCTATACTAGCTAGATCAAGTAATACTACAATGAATAAAATTTGGTGTGCTAACATGAAGAAACAAGAATGGGAACTTGATGCTTCAAAACTTACTGTCAAAAAATTAATTGGCCTTGGAGGTTTTGGGGTAGTTTATAAAGGCCTTTACAACGGAAAACAAGTCGCAGGTATAATTAATTACTAATTTTTCATTAATGTTTATGCATGTACTTCCTACTTTGTTTGTCAAGTTATTTTACTATATTAAGATTACGTTTCTTGAATATTGTTGTTAGAATGACTATAGTAATTAATTATTATATTAGGGTTACGTTTCTTGAATATTGTTGTTAGAGGACTATAGTAAAACTATATTAGTGTTACATTTCTTGAATATCATTGTTAGAATGACTATAGTTTACTACATTAGGGTTGTGTTTTATGAAAATTGTTGTTAGAGTGACTATACCAAAACTATATTAGGGTTACGTTTCTTGAATATTATTGTTAACTAGAATGAATATAGTAATATGTATTAGGGCAATGTTTCTTGAATATTGTGGTTAGAATGACTAGTAAAAAATTTGGTAAGTTTTAATTAATACACATTATTTCGATGAATTTCAGTTAAAGTATTTGATTTGGGAGATGAAAAGAAGAATTCAACAGAAGAGGTATTCATGCAAGAAGTTTCTGCTTGGTGCAATCTTCAACACTCCAATATCGCTAAGGTACTTAATTAATTTCTCTTATTTCCTAATAATATATTATTTGCAAATTAGCTGAAATATATATATATTAATTTTATGCAGTTCATTGGAGCTATAAATAAGAAGAACATGTCAAAGATAAAAATGAAATGTCAAAAATGTGCAACACTGCCAATAAATGGATGTTGCATAGTTGTGGAATATGTTGGTGGAGGTACTCTTCAATCCTATCTTTCCAGACATACAATGAAGAAGAAATTGCCTTTGGATACAATTATACAACTTGCATTGGATGTTGCTAAAGGGTTGAGTTACATTCATTCTAACAAAATTGCTCATAGAGATGTGAAAACTGAGAATTTACTTGTTGACAAAAGTACTGGAAGAGTGAAGATAATTGATTTTGGACTCTCAAGTGAGTTTTATTCACTTGGATTAGATTATCCTCCTATGATGGTCGGAACAAGTGGAACTATGGGTTATATGGCTCCTGAGGTTTTGAGTGACGCGTCATATGATCACAAGTGTGATGTCTACAGCTTTGCAATTTGCTTGTGGGAAATGTATACTTGTTTAGATCCATACCCTGAACGCATTTCTCGAAGTAAAATCTCACATCAAATTTACAAGGATCGAAGGCCTGAGATACCAAAATGTTGTCCAAGACCATTGTCAGATATAATGGAGAAATGTTGGGATGTAAAGCCACAAAATAGGCCAGAGATGAAGGAAGTCGTACACATGTTAGAAGCCATTCAGACGACTACAAAACCAAGAAAGCACCACATATTTTGCTTTGCCTAGAAAGACAGGAATCACAGGAGTTTATATATAATTAATCTGTAAATTGTAATGTTATATGAATAAAGTTCTTCAATAAATTTAACAAAGCAGTATGAAAAATAGGGGAGGGGGGGGGAGGGGGCAAACAGTACTTGTGCTTTATGCAATGTGACATGCTTGTACGCAACATCTTTAAGACACAACCAGTTTTTTTATAATGATATCTAATTCTATTTAAAATGTAAAACGGTTCTCATTTGAGAAATGAAGATTTATAAATAGCAGTGAACTAGATTGGACCAAATCACGTTCAGTCCCATCTGATACTGCTGGAAACAGTTTAAAATTCCAAAAATAAAAAAGAACACTATTAAGGCCTTCACAACAACATACCCCATTGTGATCCCACAAGTGAGGCCTTGGTTTCTCACAAATTTCCTCCAGTCAAAAATGTGGGACGTCCTCATATGTAAGAGAAAACAGCACAAACATGGAAAGCAACGCAACCTTGAAGCTGGAATGAATTAAGAGAATCACAAAATAACCAACTTTTAACCTAAACTATTTATCATTTTTATGCTTGAAAGAACACAGTTCTACAATGATTTGATAAGTAGCAAGAGCATTATGAATATGTTTCCAAGTTACAGGTGAGAACATAACTGAAATTAGGATTTGGGCCTCAAAGCCAAACCTGTCTCGACTTTCTTGATTTCAAATATAAGCATCCTCCACATCTTCAGAACAAACATTTCAGCTTCTTCATCTAATATACTTTGGAGCCTCTCCAGCATCTCAGTTGCCTTGACATGTTCTTGAGTGCTGGAGACGATGTAGTCTACCAGCGTCGGCTCCTCCTCACCAAGAAAATCAGTGATCTTCTTACTGATCCACGGTCTCATCCTTTCATGCAATGCATTCTGTGAAAAGCAAAGCAGATATAAACTATAAACATTCACAGCTCCAATAAACCAACAATAGAAAACCCGAAAAGAGTGGCAAAAGCTCAGAACATAACATTCAAGTTATTTTAGCCTAGAGATTCAGCTTTAAGTGAAACAAGTCTATAGGACCTTGGGACTCCAACAGGAACTAAAACGCTAAATGAAGAGTTTACATGACTAGCAGTTGTTAACATTCCTAACGGTTGGAAGGTGGATCTAATATCAACGACAGCTGAAAGGCGACCAATTTTCTGTTCACTTGTAAGCAGTGGTTCTTGCTGTAAAGAATTCTTAAAAGCCAAAGTACTCTCTTGCCATGCATCCTCCCAGAAAACTCAGGATGCCTATATTCCTTTCTTGATCAGGAACTTAGGATGCCTACATTCCTGTAAGTCCTCACCACATGTCAAGGAGTTGAATATTACTTTCAGTCAACTACCCGGTCAAGCTTAATATTCTTCTCACTCAAGCATGGTCAAACTCCTCTCGAGGCATGTTTAAGCCCTTAGCTTGGTTCTGCGCAGGTTAGATGTTTCGCTTCACTTAACCTGTATTCCAGAGTTGGCACTAGGTTGGGTCTCAATATCTATAAGTTTTTGCTTAAAGAGGATAGCACTGATGACAAAATAGTATCTATTCATCAAACTTCATGAATAAACATTTTCGTGATTAAGAAAAAGAAATTAGAATTTAACAATAGATGACAAGACATAATTAGCAACTTGCATCTGAATCTGAAATTCAAAAAACATTGTACTTGATAAACATGGGTTTTTACGTTTTATATATACTTAGCTTTTCAATTCTTTTGATCTACAAAATTGTCATTAGGTTTTGTAGTGATTTTTTCCTTGCATACAAAGTCCATGCTTCGATTGCACTTTACACTTGAAGCCCCAACAGGCACTTGACACTTTTCTATGCTTTCCACCTCTGATTATACTGCTGATGAGGTGATCGTATTCAGAAAGTCCTATGATTTCTGAACATTTTTTATCTAATTGCTAATTACATGATTCAGCAATAAAGCAACTATATTGGTGCTCAATACAGAAGAATTATTTTCTAATCTTGTAGGAAGACCAATAAACTTATTATCAAGGGACACTACGTCTTCCCAGAAAATGAGAAAAACTACTGTTAAAGAAATCAGAAGTAGAGCCACAGTGTCTTCCACATTCAAATAGTGGAGAACAAATAGGAATACATAAGCTACTTCATCATGTTAGTGGATGTGTTAATCACTTGATCCATCAGGATATAGGAATTTTTCCCTCCCATTTACCTCCGTATGCTGTTGTGCAATTGATAAATTGACTCTCCATCTCCCTCCTAATGAGATGTTTTGATTCCAACGTGGACTTTCAGGCAGTCGTGCAAAAAGCAGATGCCTTAAAAAATATTTAAAAACTACCATAGAATTACCATGAATATACGTACTGCTAAACTAAGGACACTATACTCGATCCAACAAATGCTATCTTTATTTACCAGAGTCAATGAACCAAGTTTTAGAACTAGCATACATCTCACATATTTCATGTATGCGCAATATCTTAGGAGTTCTTTGGCATCTTAGGAGTTCTTTGGCATCTGCCCATAAGGAATACTGAAACTCATTCATCAGTTGTGTTTCTTGTAAAAACAATTTAAAAGGAACCATCATGGTGCTCTTACTATTACTGTGCTCAAACATAAAAATAGTGACAAAGGAAACATTTGATTGGAAAGAAAGACCGGCTATTTCGGGGGCAAAACCTATATCAAATGTTTGGCTGACATTAGGCTAAATATCAACCACAATAGTAATAAAAGCCCTCCAAATCCTAGAAGCTGAGTGGGTATGCTATCTCTTACGTCTCCTCCCACTCTGCTTTATGTTAATTGCAGGAACACATCAATATGAAAATGCATAGCTGTGTTCGCTAGAAGTTGCAAGTACCAGATAGCATACAACTCTAAGAATAAAACATATGAATTAACTTTGTAATATTTGCTATAATCCGATGAAACCAACTCATGTATTAAAGCAAGAGAATGAAACTGACAGATCATTTCTCACCTTGTCATAAATAGCCCAGTTTATCTCATAAGAGAACAACTCATCTTTGGTCTTTGGAATCATGTCAATCAATTGCTTTGCATCTAAAAGCTTCTGATTATCAGGCGTCTTAACCTTATCAGGTCTAGGTTCCCGAACTCTGTCATGATCAAGGTTTCTACCGTCATCCCTGGTTCGGCTAGTCTCCTCATCATGCCTGTCCCGATCCCTCTGGCTGGATCTGTCATGAGTTCTTCTGTGTCTCTCCTTCTCTACGTCAGGCCTCTCTTCTTTAGCATTGACATTTGAAATTCGCTTAGCAAATTCTGCAGCTGTAGTTGGCGATGCTTCAGAGATGGAAGGTTGGACCAGATGTTGCTCGTCAGCTGAGTAGTCAATTGGAACCAATGGCCTCATTTTCTTTTCTTTTTGAGTATCCTCATCCTCATCCGCATTGAAGAAAGACGGGACAGCAGCTCTTTTTCCTGACCCTGAGAGGCCAAATTCTAACCTTTTCGTAGGGGCATTGCTATTATGCCTCATGTCTGATGCTGCAGTAGCTGCCAACACGGATTCTTCATCAGTCCCATTTTGTGCAACTCCTTCACCTGTTATTTTTCAATATCAAATGCCAAATAAAAAGATAAGAGCAAAATCCATAATAATAAATCTTAAGAAGAATAAACTAAAATAGTTACCCTGGCTTAAATTATCCTGAGCAGTCTCGATATTCTTATCTTGGCTATCAAGATTGTTTTCCTCATATGAAACAGCTTTTTCACGTCCATTGGCTAGATGACCAGAAAGGATTTTCAATGCCTCCTCCTGTTCTTTTTTCTGATGTTCCTCGTCTGCTCTTCTCTTAGCCTCAGCAATCTCTTCTTCTTCTTTAGACCTGTCGGCCAAGTCATCTTCCTTCTCCCTCTGCCGTCTTTTCCTCTCCTCGTCACTAGTCCTGTGTTTTCTTTTTCTATAACCATCTTCACATTCACGTTCTTGTTCCACTATATCCCATTTGCGTTCCTGAGCCCTTTCTTTCTCCCTTTCTCTCTCTCTTTTTCGCCAATGTTCCCTCTCCCTTTCTCTTGTTTCCCACTCTTTTTCACGGGACTTGTACCTACGGTCATCTTCGCGGGTCTTGTACTCTCTCTCCTTCTCTCTCTTAGTTCGTTCTTGTTCACGTTCTCTCTCATACCTTTCGAGTTCCCTTTCCTTTTCCCTCTTCAAATCCCTCTCCCGATCCCTGCTTCTCCTATCTTGCCTACGATGGTCCGGTGAGCTAATCTCAGCCTTGTCATGCTCACTTGAAGTTTTACTTTCGTTGACATCGTCATTTTTTTCTTCTGCAGTGTTTCCAAAATCATATTGAAACTGTCAGTAAAGCTTCAATAAAAGAAAAATATCTGAAAGAAATAAAGGAAAGAGAGGCTTCTTATTGGTCCAAAAAACTAACCATTTTTTGCTGTATCTCTACCTGGTTCCCCATCTTTGAGGTTTTCCGTATATGAGTTATCAGAACCATCTTTAGGTGCTTGTGGAGGTGGAGGTGGAGGTGGTAATGGTTTATTCTTCAGCCTTTCCTCTATCATATCCTTGAGCTTCTCCAAGGCCTCTTTGTCAGCTTGTCTATCTTCATCAGTGACCAGACCAAAGTTAGCAGCATCGAGATTTTCTTTGTTCCCTTTATCACCACTATCTTGCTTTGATTCTTCTGTACTAGACTCAGGAGGTTCTGTGGGCGTCTTTGCATTTTCATTCGTCTCCCCACCTAATGCACTTTCTTCTTCTTTCTCAGTGCCTTCAGTTTCAGACTCTTTGGGTTTCTTCGAGTTTTCTGCTTTCTTTTCAACGTACCGTTCAAGGAAATCGCGAGTTGCTTGATTGACATTTAACTGCAATGATACCAAGTCTAACTAAGTTTAATAGTTGAAATTTCACTACCCCTTGGTAAGTTGGTGATGTAACATGACTTGAAGGAGAGCGCCTATAACATGATTTGGTCAAAATATGCATGCAGACAGAACAAAATGTTCATATTTCCAAACACTGAGGGAAGATGCTGTAAATATTTAGTAGACAGATGAGCTGCACAGGCACACATTATCAGATGTAAAGATAAGGTATCACAATTAATTTTATCACTGGTGAGATCTTCATGCTGCACAATAATAGTCCTAAAATATGCAGACATAGATGAGAAAACAAAATTTATTTATTTTGGACGGTTGGCTGTGTGTATTTTCTATATAAGAAAAAAAAGAAATTGGGTGGGTGGATGGGGATTGAGAGAGAAAGGAGAAAAAGACAGGATTATACCATTAGCTCCTGCCCGTCGATGTTTAATTTGTTGAGCAATCTTAATGCACGGAGAACTCCCTCAGCAGCCTCAAACTCACAAAACCCAAAACCTTTCAGTGATCCATTAGTCGGATCTTGAGCACGCTTCCAACTCCTAACAGGCCCGCAGAGCTTTGCAAACATTACAGCAGAAAAGTCAGTTAAATTTAGAGCTTTGGAACACAATCAAGTGAGAAACACAAAGAACTAAGTTCCACCCTTCAAAAAGTAATTGGAGGAATTGCCGAAATGTTAAATTCACTCACCTGCAAAAGAGAAAGCATAAACTCATTTTCTGCAGTGGACGATATCTTGCCAACATAAACTGTTGTTTGTGGTTTCTCTGTTTGAGTAATGCTTGGGATGGCAGCTGGCCTGGCAACAAGAGGAATGATTGGAGGACGCATCATAGGGATTGGAGGGCGCATCAAGGGAGGAATAATGCCTACTGCACCTAGTGGGCGTGGAGGAAACACTGGTCGAGCCATCTGTGTGTACGGTGATGCATAACGCGGAATTCCTGCATAAATGGACAAAGGAGTCTAGGAATATTTATTAGGCAAAGCTTACAAAGCAGAGACAAGTCTAACACTCAACACCTACGTCTCATTCACAAAAGAAAACTGTAAGGCTGAACAAATGTTATTACCAAACATTACAAGCATTATGAGATGGCACCATAGGCATGAGAACACTCACGAGCTGAACAGATAACCTGAAGGATCAAGATAATAACATCCATTTCATAAACCACTAACATGTGAATAGGGCTTACCTTATGCATCCACTTGCAAAGAAATCTGATCTAACTGTCCAAATTCCCAAGAATGATTTGCAAGGTTTGAATACATTAAGATGAGACTTCCAGCGTCTCATCATCAGTAATGCAATTGATAGCATGATAACATATTTTAAGACAATCTTTACACATGTCAAACATTAACATCATCATGTACCGCAGAAAAATAGCCGGAAAGACAACACAAGCAGGTAAAATGAAAAGATTGTGATACCTTGGTGTATAGGCTACTTGCATTCAGTTGTTAACAAGGTCTGCTGCCAGCATTTCAAGAATCAAGATCCCAACAAAGGGGTAGTACCCTTACTACTAAAAGTAAATCTACTGTAGTACACGCATATTCAGACATTACATAACATAGAAAATTATATGTCCATGGTGAGAAAGCTCCACTTTTGGTACTTCACAGAAAATAGATGTGTTCGAAAGCAAATGACCTTGTAATGATAAATGAAATAAAAACAAAAACAAGCAGACGTGCTCATACCAAAAAAGCAGTTGGAGTACTCAGTAGTCTCTAATGAACAGCAATATGAAGCCTTCCCACCTTTCTCACCGAAACCATTCAAGAAACTGTAGGAGAAAACACCCCGTCATCGATACCCCTTATCCATTTTTAATACAATTCTATGGCAAACTCCTCTCATCCATATTATTCCCCTCTCAATATCAACACAATAAAGCAACAGACAGAAGTAGGCTAGCCATTGTTACTCTAATTATATCTATAACTGTATACTATTAAGTAATGTGAGGTTCAAATGGTAACCAGAGATATGTGTTCAGTAATTCTTCTAGAGCCTTTAACAAGCATACTTATGTATAACATTTTGTAGTGGTTCAGTCTCAACAGAATAATTTCTAAATAATAAACTTTGTCAAAGCTATTATTAGGACCTCCAGTACAGCCGCATCTAGTGCTGACGATCCAGAAATATGAAGTAACTATCCTAAGAGATTAATCACTAAGACAAAGACTTCGCCTTTTGATATCACAACACAAGTGTATAATACACTGCACAATCTATCATTTCAGCTATCAATATTGCAGCATCAATTGCTAAATACCAAGTGACAGTACATATTAGAAAGAAACAAAAACCCACCGGGATGAATCATGGCTCCCTGTGGAGCATGCGGAGGCATAGCATGGTAACCGTTAGGCATAGGAGCGTACGGTCTCATCATCTGTCCAGGCATAGCATAAGGCGGCATAATTTGCGGCGCCGAGCCCATCTGTACAGCTCCAGCACCAGCTGTAGGTGCTGGAATCATCGACGGCGGCACAGAATTCACTCCGGGAGGCTGAACAGAAGGATTCGGAAAATTCAATGTTTGCTGCTGCAAGTTAGGGTTAGGAAGAGGCGAGAACATAGGAGCTACACCAACACCAGGTAGTGGTGCTGGTGGCGTCGCCGGACGAAACGACGGAGGTATGCCAGAGTAAGGCTGGATCGACGGCGGAGGTGGTGGCAGAGGTGAAGATAACGACGGTGCCGGAGATGGATCTGATTGGGAAGTTTTATTATCGGATTCCGTTGGTGGTTGTGAATTTGCGACGGCGGAATTTTCCGGCGAAGGAGCTGAATCCGCCATGGATGTGGAAATTGGGTAGCCGAAGATTGTGGGTTTGAGAGTGAGCCCTAGAATTACTGGAAGAAAGTGGTTGTTTTTATGTATGTTTTATATATAATATATATATTGTTTTTATGAATATGTTTATATATAATATATATATTTTAATTTTCGAGTAAAATATCTCTTGTGCTCTAAAAGAGGTTTATGGTTTATTTGGACCGATTTTTATTTGAATTAAATTTAAACTATAAAAGTTGAATTAAATTTAAATCATATTTATTTGTTTAGTAGTTGTTAGTTTGACTTAATTTAGTTGAAAATCATTGTATCTCAAATTTTCTGATTGAATTTGTCATAGATGTCTATGATAGATAATAATTTCCTCCCAAGCATAGATTATTCATCATATTGTGCTCTCCAAAGAGCAATTCTTCTCTTTGGTCTTGTGGTTCCGATCTTCCAGAGAATCCAACTATAAGAGAATCAGAAACATAGGGTTTTTTTAAGATAACTAACTTGTTTCCATTAATCACCCGTAAAACAATATAGAGTAGTCAACATCCATAGGTAGTGAAATGTTGAATACTGGAAAAACACCACTCCCACCCTCCTCTACGCGCTATACACATAAGACCTCACCTTCACTCTTACACCAATCAAGACTGAACTAAAGGCCTACTCTTAAAGGAAGCTCTAACATTACATATAAAAGCAATAGTTCTAATAATCATATCTACTCCATTTGTCTTCTGCTCAAACACTCTGATTCCTTTCAATCCATAATGCATACACAACTTCAGCATAGACCATTCTGAGCCCGTAGTAGAGTCTTCCCCTTTGCATTCTTCAGATGCCAGTTAAGGTGTTGTTGTCAATTCCCTTCTATACCATATGGCATCTACATCATGTTAGCAAGGAGATTCCATAGTTGTCTAGTATAAGATCGATTCACAAACAAACGATCTCGGGTTTCATCCTCCTTTTGACACATAATACATTATGGCTCCACTTTGGAACCCCATTTCAACAACCTATCTTTAGTGAGTAGCTTAGCTTGCAGTTGCAACCATAAAATAAACACAATCTTTGGTCTAGAAATAGTACTAAACATTAGGCACTTCCAGGAAACCATCACACCGTTCCTATCAATTTTAAGTACAGTTCTCTAATAATAGTCTGTTGATTCAACTGAGTTAGTTGACAGTTTTTTCACATCTTCCTAGCTTCCAAAGTCTTCCTAGTCATCCAACAAGCATGCTGGGGAATAGGAATGTGTTTCACTTATTGAACATGATTCTACGATTGATCTGTAAAAAAATATTTTAATCAAATTGCAAATACTCCAACTTATAGTATTCCATTTGCATAATTTTTTTCGTAACCCACTTAAAAGTCAACATATTTATAAGGTTAATTAAATAAATTGTAAATTTGTAATCAAAGAAAAAGGCTGCAATTGGTTGAGCAATAATTACTGTATGTCATTATTTTTAAGCTGACTCCTGTTTAATTTTTCACTTTATACTGATATAGTTATTATTACAAGATTAATAAGCTCTTATTTTACACTTAAATTAAGCAAGAATAATTTAAAATAGTCTTTTTTTTTATATAGTCCAAGTAATATATGTTTGATCGATAAATTTTGTTGATGTTTTTTTAGCTTTAAATTTAAATATTTTGATCTTTATATTATGAATCATGATTTGTTTTTAGAATTCTAGTATAATAAAGTTCTAACACTATCTATTATAATTCGTATGATGCATTATCAATATTAAAATAAAAATTCCAATAAGCTGACTCCTGTTTAATTTTTCACTTTATATTGATATAGTTATTATTACAAGATTAATAAACTCTTATTTTACACTTTAAAATAAATTAAGCAAGAATAATTTAAAATAGTCTTTTTTTTATATAGTCCAAGTAATATATGTTTGATCGATAAATTTTGTTGATGTTTTTTAGCTTTAAATTTAAATATTTTGAATCATGATTTGTTTTTAGAATTCTAGTATAATAAAGTTCTAACACTATCTATTATAATTCGTATGATGCATTATCAATATTAAAATAAAAATTCCCAATAATTTATAATCTAGTTTTCATTATTTATTTTTTAAAATGTGATAATTTTATTTTATCATATTAACGTATTTAAAAATCACAGATCCTACCCCTTCACAGCATTATAGGAATATATTTTATTGTTGTATATTGATATTCTATAAAGAATTAATTTATAAAATATTAAAAATAACTATTGGTAAAATAATTTTTTAACATCATACCAATAAATAATGTAAAACAAATAAGAATTTTGTATTGAAATTTTACGCAATTTAGGAAAAATGGTATGAAATAGCAAACTATTAATTCAAATTAAATGATATAGCCATAGTTTTTTTTATTTGTAATTCGCAGCAAACATTTCATGTTTTTTGTCATCCCATTTGTATACCGAAATATACAAATGCAAGACCATTTGTATATCGAAATATACAAATAGGCCGAAATATACAAATGCATGACCCATTTGTATACTGAAATATACAAATGCAGGACTCATTTGTATATCGAAATATACAAATAGACCGAAATATACAAATACAAGACCCATTTGTATACCGAAATATACAAATAGACCCAAATACATACTTTTTATGTATATGTATACCGAAATATACAGATTAATAGCCAGCAAACATAAAGTTTGCTATGGAGTGCAATTATACAAACTATAACTATAACATATAAATATAATTTTTATGTTTGCTAAACCTAAAATTTACTCAATTTAATATTCTATCGCATGATTCACATCTCTAATTACTTCAAACAAAAAAGTGTTAACTAACGTTTTTATTGATCACTGACAAGGATATTATAAATCCATAGATACATTACCACAATTAGCTATCCAAGTATGCTCTAACAATACGAAAAAATTAACAGTATTTTTATTATATTCTATTAAATATACAACAAAATTCTATATTTATATAACTGAAAGGGGGATGGAAGGGGAGGGGGGGGGGGGTTTGACAAAAGTCACTGTATATTTATTATAAGAAGAAATTAACTATCATTATAGTTTTGTTTTAAATTTAAAATTTTAGGTTGAGGATCATCAATTGATTTTAAAACATAAATTTAAAATTATATTGCAATTATCACGATAGACACAGAAATTAAAAAAATGTATGAATAAGAAAGCATTTATAACATTCAAAAGAATCCTATGAAGTATTAAATTCATTTTAGTATTATTATTTAGAAGAAGAGTAAATTCCAGAGAATTGTATTGCTTAGATGGGACTGGTTTATCTAATAGATTATTGATATTGATGAATTCATATTCTTGCTCATGAGATTTTCTACATTTTATATTTTATAAAATAGAGAAATGCAAATAACTAGGAGTGTTAAATGGACGGGTTGGGTTGAAACTTGAGATATTAAAATGGACTGAAATAAAATTTGGATTAGGTTCTAACTCGTTCAAGTATACTTAGACTCAAATTAGCTAAAAAAACATATTTAATTTTGACTCATCCAATTTGATCCGCTTAATCTCATTAATTTAACATATTATTATTTGAAATAATATTCCAGAGGAGAAGGAGAGAGCACAAGAGGCATTACAATTATTTCTTTAAAGTTTCTCTTCTATTATTTCTTTACTTATTTGGCATAAGAGATTATTCTAGTTTCTACTTCTAATTAAATAGTAAAAAAAAATTCTTTGGAATTTTTATTTTATTTTCTTATTTAAATGAAGAATAGTTTCGTTAATAGAACCAATTATATTATGAAGTGATTTTTTGTGTGGGAAAATGACAAATCTTGATATTTTTATATAATAATAAATAATATTTTTGAATTTCACGTGCTTGAGCTGAAATTTTCTATTTAATATTTATCCACTTTATAATTAGATGATGTTTAATTTGTGAACATCTATTTATTTTGTACTGTGTATTTTATTATTTAATAAAAAATCTCCAAACCAACATTCTATTTTTAAAAAAAGTACTACATATTATGATTTTTGCAAAGAAAAGCGAAAGAAGCAAATATCATTAATTAGGGTATTGATAAATTGTTAATTTTCTTTCGTGATACTTATCGCTTTTATGTGATAATTGATTTTACATTAATTTGTATCGAAAGAGGTAAATAGTGTAATAATAAATTAAAATATGTAATGAAATTGAAATTGACTTAATGAGTGTTTGAATTGACTTATTTTAGGTGGTTTTTAGCAGAAATAGTTTTTAAGCAATTTTGAATTGTTTGAGTAAAGTTAAAAAGTACGTATAAGAACTTATTTTAAGCCAAAATAACAAAAATAAGTCAAAGCATGTGTATTAATTTAAGTACATATTTTTGGATTTTAATATTATTATATTGATAATAAAATTGTATAGGCCAAACAAAGAATGAAAGGGAGGGTTATTTGGAGGGTAAGCACCCCTCACCTCCATCCGTATCATTGTAGGTTCAGAGCGAAAAGAGTGAAAGCTCATAGGGAAGGCTAAAATAAAATAATTTTTAAAAAATAAATATATCCGAGAGGAGTGCATTTAATCTATTTTACTCTCTGTTATCTATATTTGGAAAGTAAAATAGAGAATTGACACTTCAACCACCCTTCATTTCACTTTTTATTCTTCATTTATAGAGAGTTGAATAGTAGTTCTCCGAAGTTGGATAACTACTATTCACACTCTCTATTTCACTTTTTTATTATTTTATTATTATTTCTATTATTTTATAATTAACATATTATTTTTCATATAAGGTCATTAGTTAAATCTCAA